TTCCACTGATATCTAAACAACCACTCATTGGATTTTGATGAAACTTTGTACATACGTGCTCTGAACTAATGCTAGGTTTTGATTAGTTTTTAGTAATAATCCGTGGATACTAATTATCTAATTTGCATAATGATTAGTCAATTTACCGTTTTCCCACTGATATCTCAAGTACTAATCATCACATTTCAATGAAACTTGGTACATAGATGTCATATGACACTGCACAGACCTGATAGTTTTTATGGTAATATCAGTACATATTAATTACCTAATTTGCATAATTAATTAATTTTCAGCATTTGATATAAGTACTAATCATCACATTTCAATGAAACTTGGTACATAGATGTCATATGACACTGCTCAGACCTAATAGTTTTTATGGTAATATCAGTACATATTAATTACCCGGTACCTAATTTGCACAATTATTTAATTTTCAGCATTTGATATAAGTAGTGAGCATTACATTTCAATGAAACTTGGTACTTAGATACTCAAGGTCTATGCAGAAATTGATTGTTTGATTTGCATAATTAGTTAATTTTCAGCTTTTCCACAAGTATCTCAAGTACTAATCATAGCATTTCAATGAAACTTGGTACATAGATCCTTTAGGACTATGCAGAGACCTGATTAGTTTTAGGATAAATAATTGTGCATATTAATCACATTAATTAATTTGCATAATTAACCAACTTTCACACTGATATCTCAGGTCCTAATCATCACATATCAATGAATGTTTGTACATGGATACTGTAGGACAATAGACAGACCTGGATAATTGTGGGTTAAAATCTGTACATGTTAATTACCTAATTTGCATAATTAACCAATTTTAAGCTTTCACACTGATATCTATACTACTAATTATTCCATTTCAATCAAACTTAGTACAAAGATGCTCTAGGACAATGTACAAACCTGATTAGTTTGGGGGTAAAAATCTGTTCATATTAATTCCATAATAAGCATAATAATTCATAATTTTTTGGTTCTAATCACGTTTCAATTAAACTTGGAAACATAGATTTTCTGTTACATTGCGCTGACCTCATTAGTTTTACACTCAAATCTGTTAATATTAATTTTCTGATTTGCATAATTAGTTTTCAGCTAAGTAATTTCGAATTATATTTAATGTGTCTCCAATACTCTCAGCACTTGGGAGTTCTTTCTAAGCTTTCTTTGATTGTTATTGGTCATACTTTAAGTGTAAAATATAGGGGAAAAAGTATATTCACTTGATTTTATTTTATTAATTCCAAGCGAAAATAAACTATTTTACCGTAATATAATTTTACTGATTCATCTTAATTTTGGGAAAACATCTCAATTTATTCTGACATAGAAAGCACAGAATCCTTATAGATTTGAAAACTTTCCAAATTATATTCATTTGATTAAACCTATAGTTAAATATATAGGCCAAATTAACAAACGTTTTTGCTATTTTCACTAAAACAATAAATTTTCAAAAATCAGTGAAAATAAAATCCTAGAGAGTATACATTTTTCCTGTATTTTACATTCAACTTTAAGACAAAATACACAAAAATTCATTTATACGAAAATTAATTCCAGTTAAAATATTTTCCAGTACCCAAACCATGTTATAACTAATTTAATTATCAATTACATTGATAACAGACCTTTCTTATTTCTTTCAATCTTTATCTAAACTCTGATTAAATTTGTTTTCTTTGGTGGCGTCTAAATTTTAGGATGGGTCAGACTGCACACCAGTCTACTGTCACATAATGATACATGTATGGGGGCAATGTTTGCCAAACAATCAGCAAAGAAGATGAGCAGGGTTGCGCACAGTCAGTCAGTGAGGATGGGTTTGATTGGCAGTGTAAAAAGACAATTTTAACACTGGTTACACTAGATTAAATACGCTGGAAGAGCCCAGCGTGATTTAGGTGCAGTTACTGTATACATGATACAAAAAGTTGAAGCTCGGCATGTGTGGAATTTGTCGGAGTATTATACTCAGGGTGTCATGTCTATCTTGAGCACAGCCAATTTAGTTGTTAGTCCAGCTTTCCAAAAATTACACGCAAGATGATATGTACGTGAGCAAAAGATAGCACTGCAATAACAATGCCTATAAATAAGGCATTTATTTTTTAAAAAGTATCGCAAACTTTATTAACTGCTGGGTGGCTGCACCAATATGGATGCTGTGGTAGAATCCCTGGATGGGGTGGAGGTTAAAGGTCAGGAGAGTGTTTGACACTGGTTTCTTGCTCAAAACTACATGTAATATAATAAATATCGTGGGGTATACTATAACTGACAGCAAGTCCACCATTACAGAATACAAGACCAGTTATCGAGCATAGATTTGCTTGGTGTGTTTACTTCTGAGTCTCTAAGTGCATTCTGCACTTCTCAAATTTCACTCTCTCATTGGAAAATGCAAAGTAATTGAAGCATACGTTTGGTATACAAAGATAGATGAATATATTTGGAGAGTGCTGCTGTAATTCTAGTTGTATCTTGAGAATCACTTTTGAAATTTGTTACAAAAGTAGGCTGGGTTCGTTCTATGGTGATGTCTCTGACCTTTAATAGCGTATGTTATACACCTGGCAATCCTGACGACCACTGACAGCATAATTCACTTTGAAGGATTACTTAGAAAAACAGTTGTCAGATAAAACTTATTTTCACCTGTTTGTTAATTACAGTACTCTTTGCTAATGGTATCTTTGTTCAAATTTTATCTTTTTATTTGCGATATGATAATGGCTGCAACCTATGTGACTTATCAACCATGCTTGAACAAGCAAAACCCCCACCAGGCTATCCTTGTTCATTTACTCATGCCTGACAGAAGTTGGAAGTGAACCAAACGTCCACAAGTCATGCAGAAACGTAATAAAAAACCTGCCAGAGAAAATCCTTCCAAATTTGACTGGGTCTTGTTTCTGAATATTGTAGTTGTACTGATGGTTTGATTTGTTTTTAGTTTACCTTGCACATTATGTGATGCCCCCCACCCCCTCCGTCATTTCTTGGTTGACTTGTCCTATTCGGTAGAATGTATGTCCGGTATGTGGTGGGAAGAAAATGAGCCAGTCAAGCAACAGTTATTTTATTGTTTCATGTATGACTTAGTTATATTTATCTAGAGAATCTGAGATTTCTGTTTTATTTACCCCAACCGACAAAACAACAAAAGTTATACAGTAACTGCTATGTGCTGGTGCTTCACAGAATTGACAGAAGTTATACAGATAATTTTGTCTGGTGTAGCCAAACATTATTTTTTTAATTTCAGATCAAATCACAGTATTAGAAACTTGATAAAATACAACACACTAAAGTTATTTGAAAATAAATAACTTTTTCAGGAGACTTTCAGTATATTGTGTATCACTCTTTGGTATATTGGTGACCAGAGTTTTTATTTTAAGCCGGAAACCGAAAAAATCACCTGGCTTGGACTACCGTGGAATACTTTATTTTCGCTGGAATTAATTTTCGCTGGAAAGGCTTTTCGGGCATTTTGTATGGAATTTATTTTCACTGATATTTTGATGAGTTGAATGTGAAATATAGGAAAAAAAGTATATTCGCTGGATTTTATTTTCACGGAATCATCCCTCCAGCGAAAATAGCGTAAATAAATTCCAAGTGAAAATAAAGTATTCTACAGTATTTTTAGAATAAGACTCATAAAGCCACATCCCTAACTGTTAACTATTTTGCTTCGCATTGATTGAAATCTCCTGCGTTTGAAAGTTAATCGTGACTGTAAATGTTCATATAACTACAATAAAGAGGTCTAAGCAGTTGTGATGTGAAGAAATCATTTTGTATAACTACCATGCTGGTGTTTATAATAGATTGCAGAAAAGTTTCTGGCATCCACTTGGCATCTATTAGATTTGAAATTGTCTCCATGGTGTTAGTGAGGCTTGGAGTGTGTGAGAGAATTAGTCGCTATTGGCGACGTCGATTCCATAGGGGGTACTTGATTGGTCAAGTGGTTGATATGAATTGGGTACGGGATTAATTTTATAAAGATCACACGTTAATAATTAACCTTTTAAACTTTAGATATGTTAATATTTAAGAGCGGAAAGGAAGTTGTTCACAAAAGGACACTTCAGAGTTGCTGCGATATTATCTGAAGTGAAGGAAACGAATGATGTGTTTGATTACATACACTAGAAAACTGTCACTAATACAAATATTACTTTGATGGATTCAGTGAGACAATTTGTCCAGCTCCTCCTGGTTGCTAGGCATTTAGGTTTACACACAAGCAAATCATTAATATTTGAAAAAATAACCGTTAAGATTGCTCATTTTACAGCTATGTTAAGTATGTATGTTGACAAAATAATCTGATTGGGCTGTGTCTGTAAATTGTTTACAAAATAATTTGATTGGCTTATTATAAGATGATTTTTATACCTTGTCAGCTTTTTGTTTGTTCCAAGTTTTATGGACAAATTCATGTTTCAATTGACTTGTTTCCGGAGATCATCATCATCATCAAGCCTCATTTATACTTGATGTTTACTGTGTGTGATTTTTGCGATAAGCTACTTCGGAGACACATTTCTGTTTGCTCATTAGCCTCCTTAGTTTCTATGTTGAATATTTTTGATATTTTTTGCTGTATCTAATTTGAGGCATTCACACTATTGCGAATTTCATCAAAGAACCCATTAAATATTTACTGTTGCGATATTCTGTGATTTTCCATAATAAGTCGTATTTTAATTTTCCCGTAGTTGCTTTTCTGTAGAGACTGGTTTCTATTTTATAAAAAAGCATTCGCCTTGGAGCAATTTCCAATTTATATAGAGTTCAGTTTACATAAGGTTTGGTTTATAGACAAGTTTTACAATCTCGCATCTGTAAAGCAGTGGTTTCATATGCCTCTTCTGATTCCTAACACTCTAATATACATGTAGTATGTATCAGAAACCATGCCTAAAGAAACGTATTCATCTATTGAGAAATCAATATTTAACACCGACAACACTGTTTTTTGAATAGCTGGCATTGTCCACAGTTGCTAACCCTACTTCTTCAAAATCTAGGCACTAGAAAATAGAACCAACATTACTATACAGATGGTAGGCGAGTTATCATGTTACATGTAATGCCTTGGGCACTTCATGTCTAGCAGTAATATGACTCCCATCTATATAAAATATAATAACATTTTCAATTTTTTTTTGCATGAATTCCATGGTCAGTAAATTGTTTTTCATGTGTCTACACATGTCTGTTAGATACTTGTAGATTAAATTAAAATTGCATCATTGTGTAACATGCTATACTGTTAATACTTCATAGAATTAACACCATGGTATAGCAAATGACTACTGTGGTAGGTGGATTAGTAAGTTTAAAATAAATAAAAAGTTTGAGTTTAGATCTGACTCTATGGACATTTACAAGCATGACATTTCAAAAAAGTCGTGGGAATTTGTTTTATTGAGGGTTGCAATTCCATCTTGTAAATCTGCAGAAAACCTTTGGGTTGTGTATTCGAATCTTGTGTACAGAATCTTGAAATCAAATTCAGAAGTATCTCTTGAAGTAAAGAGGTCTGGATTACAGACCTTGATTACAAGCTAGCTTCAGTCTAAAATATTTTACGCTTTGTGGCAATCAATTATTTCTCTGGATGATCACAATAATCAGTCGGAATTATTTTGCATATAATGGGAATGAATGCTGCTTTAAATTTTAAAGATGGTCACCCTAGTAAAATAAAAATGCAGATTTTTCTATAAATATGTGTTGTCATGTTTACTCTATTAGATTGAAAATGCATTTAAAACAAAAACAAAAAATAAACTTATTGTATATTTGAACATGAAAGTATATTTTATGACATACCTGTGTTTTTAAAAATAAAATATATGCAAGGTCAAGAAAAGGACCATTTTGTGGTGCACGCTTACTAAATGTTGTCTAAATAAAGTATTGGAATTATATTTGCAGGTCCACCAGAATTTATAGGAGAATTGAGGTTACTGATTGAAGCGAAAGAAGATGATATGGTACGTTTTAAATGCCCGGTTATTGGTAACCCAAGGCCAGAAATACGATGGATGCGATATGGCCAGGAAATTCCAGAACAAGCACGTGCTTATCTTCAAACAAGACAGAGTTTACGTATACTGAGCGTGTCACAAGAAGTTGCTGGAGATTATTCCTGTGTTAGCACCAATAAATTTGGATCAATAAGTGCCAATTTTACACTGCTGGTTATAAAAAAGTATCCAAGTAAGTATTTTTTTTCCTAACCTGGAAATTTCTGTTTATATATGTTATGGGACAAAGTTTTCAAAATTGTCTACTTGATTTTTTTGGTCTCTGAATAAAAAAGTTTTGTTTTTAGCACTTGATCACATGGCTTTTTTTCCCATTCATTTTGTCTATCTATGGAGGTTTTTATGTTATTTATTAATTCAAGTCTTGCTTCTGTATTGTTAGACAACATTTCATACATATTACTGTAAAATCATTTATTTTCGTTGGCATTTAATTTCACCATTTTATTGCTTTGAGCAATTTCATTGTTCAAAAAATTTGCAAGGGTTATAAGTTCACATGGATTTAACAGGTTTCACTTATCAGAGAAAATAACAAATTTCAAAACCAGTGATCAATTAATGCATTTACAGTATACTGTTTATATATCATGTTTTTGTATTTAAGTTTTCTGATTTGTGTCACTGATAGGTGAGAATTACGTGAGTGATTCCGACGTTGATTATGATGATTACGTGGAAGATGAGAGTGTATCAGAAGAAGAAGAACAACCACCACAAGTCCTTAACCTGACTATACCAATGAAACCATACTTTACTGAACAGAGGAAAATGATTCGTTCATTTATTGCTCAGCCAGCTGGAAGCTCGGTCAGGTTTCGATGCCAGGCAGGAGGTAATCCAGAACCAGATATTCAATGGTTGAAGAATGGCGAAGAGATGGATAACCGCAGGGTAGGCTACCGGGTAAGATTTCATGTTCACTGCACATCTTTGTTTAAAATTGTCAATATAGCTATATTAATTTTTGTGCCTTGTGTTCACCAGTTATGTGTATGATTATTATTTTGTTTTTCTCTATAAAATGTTGTTATTTTAATTTTTTGCTGCCTGATACTATTTGTCTCTGATACGAATTGCCATTCATTATAAACTCGACATCAGAAACAATAATTTTGTGGCAGCTTTTGTGTATTTCATTGTGTATCGTACATTGTTTCCTTTTAAGTGATAAAGTCTTTAATTTCAACAAGTTTGAATAATTAAAAGATGGCGATGTACTAATGGCCTGTATACATGCAAATATGAGATATTTTTCAGCATTCTTTCTTTTTGCTTGTTAAAAAAAAAAAAATCCTCCTAAAAATCTCTCATGTCTCCCACATCTTGCTTTTCAATAATTCTCAACAAATCTTAAATATTTTCTTAGCAATAGATGCTGACAACTCTCCCCCAGTCCTAATGTTACTTGGAAGGAACTCTGTTGATGTTGTTGTGTACCTGTAACGTTTATTATTTCTAGTTGTTAGTTCTAGATTAGTATGTAACTAATATAGAGTGTTTCCTTCTCTCCTCCCTGACTGTCTTAATCCACAGGCGGATGGAGATTCTAGTGGAAAGGTAATTCAACATAAAAAGTTGTACTGTCTCAATACTCTTGTTGCTAACCTTAATAAATAACTCAACCAAACAAAGTGTGTTGCTCACTAAAATGTATAATTCCTCCCTAGTGCTGGTTTTGGTTTCCTCTACATGATGATGACAATTTATTTAAAAAAAATCAAATGAAAAAGATTCATCTTCATCATCATCCTATCTACTACTATTAACCTTTTTAACTTGTGCATAATTTGATTTAAACAGGATGGGTTTAATTGCTTGAATGGGTGACCTTTGCTTTAATTTCTTTTGGGAATAACAAGAATTTATAATCTAGAAAAGAAACAGCTGTCTAAAGTGAACCATTCTGTTTATAAGAATAAGAACTTATTGCACTTTATATCAAGAACTTTAAATCTGAATCAAATCTGATTTCAAAGTTCCTAGGAAGAAAAATTGTTGAATTTGTACCAGCAAGTAGACAGTGCAACTTTTATAACACGTGTTCTACTATTTTGATTTGATAATTAATCTGTTCTTTTTCTACTTTCAGGTGCGCTATAGAAAAAATGCATTAGTATTACAAGATTTGGTACCTTCAGATAACGGGAAATATACGTGTATACTTTCCAACTCAATGGGCACTCTGAATTATACATATGAACTTGATGTTATACGTAAGTTAATAATAATTATTCCATATTCTAAATAATCTGTGATGTTCTTTTGAAAGATGTATGAATCGGACAATTTTCATTGAAATTTGGAATAACTTTGTTATTTGGAACAAGTTTATTTACTCATTGTGCAGCATTTATTTATGCTCACTGGACATAATTGGACATATTTTACACAACTTGCCATCCCCACAAGGCATTTCAAACTCATCCCACCAAAGGTCAGTTGCAGTTTGTTTTAAGTTGCCCGAGTGACTTGAGTATTGTGTACAATTGATTCTCGTAAAGCCTAAGGGGACAAGACAGTAAAATGATTGGTGCTAACAGGTGCTACCAGCTTGATTTGTCAGACAGGTGGATCCATTGTAACGATGATTAACAGCTAAGATAAGACAGATGGTGACTGATTGTTTACACTTTCCAGGGATTAGAATCCCATAGCATGAAACGAATCCAATTCTCAGTACATCCCGTATAGCTTTGTTGAAATATGACGATGCAGACAGATAACAAATGTATTCCCCATTCATACATTATGAACTTAACTCTTCATGCATTTTTGTGTTAATTATTACTCATCCCAACATGTTATTTATTTTCTGCAGCAAGAATAGCTCATCCTCCCATCCTTCAGCCAGGATTACCGAAAAACGTGACTGCTATTATAGGCTCAACAGCTGTACTAGAATGTGAAGTGGCTGTGAGCGACCTGCATCCACACATCCAATGGTTGAAACATTTTGAATACGTTAACTTCACAGAGAGTGATGAAGAATATGCATTTGAGGCTGTCGAGGTATAAACTCTCTACTAATTCTTGTTCAGTTACTATTTTCATTCACAGCTGATTCTTTATTTGTATTTACCTCGTTGCAGGATTGTTGCATGAAGTCACCCAAATTCTACTGGTCTGTTTTTCTTGTATAATCGCAGTGCATGCAACCTGCCTGCGATGATCACTCATGCCTGTTGTATATTATAATCTCCTTTCCATCCCATAACCTCCTGTGTTTGGTGCCAAATTCATCCTTCGTCCAAAGAAACAAATCATCTCCATCATCATCATTCACATGTACAGTAAAACCTGTCAAAACCGACCATGACTGGGACTGGGATCTATGGTCGGTTTTCAGAGGGAGTCGGTTTATTCAGGGTGGGCATAACTTCGATTGAAACAACAATTACATGTGCTGTAAACACGGGACAAATGAAAGACACCGGAGTTTGCCTTCGGTGATTATACATGTATTTACATTTATTGTATTGTTTCAATAAAATAATTTACCAAACAAGACAAGAATATTATGGTATGTACATGAAATCAATAAACATTAAAATAACTGTTGGAACAGACCGGGTAAGTATCGCGTATCGTAACTGAAGGCGTCCATTTTGAATGACATCACAACGTAAGTTCACGTGAGCTACATGTAATTATTATAATTTATGCAGACAGTTGATTTTGCTGTTAAGTCAATGAATCAAATTACGATGTAAAAAAATCATCAAGTTTTCACCGCTTTAAAGAACATCTTTTTTCAACGATTTTGTTCGTTCGAATTATGAAATTTTGGATATCTGTCAAG